AAATTTAAATAAAGGAGTAATGGCTAATCCTGAACTTTAGCTGTAGCTATTTATGTAAAGAGCGGGGGACTAGTCATTATAAATTGTATTGATGATGTATTTGAAAATAATATGTACCTTTGAAAGATGGCCAATGATGAAGAAAAATTTTCAGATATAGTTACTGTAATAAATGCATTAAATATTGGTTAAATTTATCATTACTTAGCCAGATAGTTACTATCTTTTGTGACAATAATGAGATCAAAGGAAAAGTGTTGTTTCTGTTGTTTTTATTTGGAGTAGCGTGTATATTATTACACTTAAGTATAGAGTTCAGTAGAAAGGAAAAGATAGAAGATGCAAAAGAGGAAGTAGTTTATGAAGGTTTGTAACAGATTCCAGGATATACAAGAAGGAATTAACCCTGGAAATAGTGACTACTTAAGATCCAAGAGAAGGGGGAACTATGAGTAATGACAGAAAATTTAATACAGAGGAAAAGGAAGTTAGGGCAGCTCTAATAGAATAAACTTAAATTCTTTCAGGAATAAGCCTTTTTTTTTTTTTTCAGACGATTAACCAATATGGCAATATCCTTAAATTTACAGACTCAAACTATATAGGGGAAGACAAACTCTGAAACAACCAGATTGAAATTTAGTGTTTAACAAAAGGTGAAAAAGTTGGGAGCAGTTTTGTAGGGAATGTTTTCAGGAGCAGAAATTAATAGAATAAGTTGTAATGATGAGAATCACTTGATAATCGGGAACATTAACTTGCAGGTGGACTAAACTTTATTTAGCAAGGCGTGGCAACTTTGGAATAGTTATTGGAAGTCTCAGGGTAGAGATTAGTAGGATAGACAAGGTGAAAAGACGATAAATTACTAGTGGGACCACTACTGCTGTTACTACTACTAATGATCATGATAATAGCTCTCATTTATCGTTGGCCTGATATTTGCTAAATGGCTTTACACATATCAAATTTAAGCCTCACGACCACCCTGAAAGATAGATTACCAGTAAGCAAAATGAGTTTCAGAAATGTTATTTGTCCAGTGCTTCCACCTGTGGTTGTGCTTCCACACCCCTGGAGGGGAGGGATGTGCTATTCATGTTAGAGATGTCAGAGAATGTATTTTTATTACAGTGTTTTTTTAGCAGGTAAAAGTATCTTAGTGAAGGCATGCTTTTAATTGTACGTATAGCCATACTGTGACAGCAGTTTATCAAATTCTGTGAGTAACAGTCCCTGTTTTGTATAAACACACACACACACACACACACACACACACACACACGGCAGGGGGTACAGCTTAAAGGAAATATACAAAAATGTTAACAGTCTGGGCAATTAAATCACAGGGAATTTTTATTTTCATTTAGATACACTTGAATTTTCCTGGTTTCTTTAAGTGAACATGTTTATTTTGGGTGGCAGGGGTAGGTTACTGATGGAAAGGTAGTAATAAGGAAAATTGTTCTAGACACACTAGTATACAGTAGTGGCATCCCAGTTATCTCTTCCCCTATCCCTTTCCCAAAAAATCAGTAACATTCTACAAACTCATTATCTGTTTTGCACTGGAATTGCATTTAAGCTTTAAAAATCCAGATTTTCCATTTAATGTATTTGGAAGCTGTAACTCGTTTCTACCCTTATATGATCATTATACCCAGCTCCATTCTTAGTTATACTAGTAATTGTACCTTCACCAGTCAATGAATGGTTTGTATGACTTGAGTAGTTAGATAAATAGTAAACAGACTTAGGATAGAGAGGAAAGGTAGTAGAAAAGAGGGAAATAATAGACTCTGTGCAGGGCTGGTGAAGTGATGAACACTTGAAAATCCCTGTGATCTTAAAACTGTACATATATACAGCTTCATAAGTTTAGTAATTTGATTTAAAGAAGCACTAATTTTATCTTTTTTTTTTGTCACTAGTAAATTCATCAATTTTGTGTGTTATAAATAAATTTGATTCACTTAATGTACTGTGAAATATTTTAGAGTCAGGTATCATTTTGACCAGTACTAGTAGTAGTACATTTGGGTTTTGGTGTGTGTACAAACAGCTTTACCTTTTAATTAATAATTTATAGTATTTAGATAAGATACTAAAAGCAAAATAAGAAGTGCCTCCTTGTGACAATTATTAGAGCTCCAGCCATATTTATTTCATATTAATGAAAAGCATTGTTTGTAGCGAAAATTAAAAGAGATTCCAAAACTAAAAATATAATTTTAATTATACAGTAAGCTCTTCTTTTTTTTTTTACATCCCCATGACTTACTTTATAACTAAAAGTTTGTATCTTTTCCCTTTACCCCTTTGTCCACTCACCATCCCCCACCTGATAACCACCAGTCTCTTTATCTATGAGCTTGTTTTTTTTTTTTTTTAAATTCTACATATAAGTGAGATTATATGGTATTTGTCTTTCTCTGACTTATTTCACTTGGCATAATACCCTCTACGTCCATCCATGATGTTGCAAATGGCAAGATTTTATTCTTTTTTATAGCTGAGTAATCCATTATATATAGGTATACCACAACTTTTTTATCCATTCATCTATCAGTGGACACTGAGGTTGCTTCCATGTCTTAGCTTTTGTAAATAATGCCGCAGTTAATATAGGGATGTATATATCTTTTATAATTAGTGTTTTCATTTTCTTCAGATAAATACCCAGAGGTAGATTCATTGGATCATATGATAGTTCTAGTTTTAATTTCTTGAGGAACCTCCATACTCTTCTCCACAGTAGCTGTACCAGTTTGCATTCCAAACAACAGTGCACAAATGTTCCCTTTTCTCTGCATCTTCACCAACACTTGTCACTTTCTATTCTTTTTTCTTTTTTTTTTTTTTTTCAATACTAGCCATTCTGACAGGTGTGAGATGATATCTTATTGTTTGGATTTCCATTCCCCTGATGATGAGTGGCATTGAGCATCTTTTCATGTATCTGTTGGCTATCTGTATGTCTTTTTTGGAAAAAATATCTATTCAGGTTCTCTATTTTTTAATTGAGTTGCTTATTTTTTGCTATTGAGTTGTATGAGTTCTTTATGTATTTTGGATATTAATCCCATATTAGATACATGATTTTTCAATACTTTCCCCCATTCAGTAGGTTGCCTTTTCCTTTTGTTGATGGTTTCCTTTGTTGTGCAGAAGCTTTTAGTTTGATATAGTCCCACTTGTTTATTTTTGCTTTTGTTGCCTTTACTTTCAAATCAAATCCAAAAAAATCATCGCCGAGACTAATAGCAAAGAGCTTACCACCTGTGTTTTCTCTTGAGAGTTTTATAGTTTCAGGTTATACACTCAAGTCTTTTATCCATTTTGAGTTAATTTTTGTGTATGGTGTAAGATAGTTGTTCAGTTCATTCTTTTGCATGTGTCCGTTGAGTTTTCCCAAAACCATTTATTGAAGAGACTTCCTTTCCCCTTTCCCCAACATATATTTCAGGCTCCTCTGTTATAAATTAATCAATCATATATGTGTGGATTTAGTTCTGGGCTCTGTACTGTTCCACTGATCTGTGTGTCTCTTTATGCCAATACCATACTGTTTTAATTACTATGGCTTTGTAATATAATTTGAAATCAGGCAGCATGATGCTTCCAGGTTTATTGTTCTTAAGATTCTTTGGCTATTCTGAATCTTTTGCATTTCCATATAAACTTTAAGATTGTTCTTTTTCTGCAAAAAATGCCATTCGAATTTGGATAGGGATTGTATTGAATCTGTAGATTGCTTTGGGTAGTTTGGTCATTTTAACATTATTAATTTTTCCAAGCCATGACAGCTTCACAATAAACTTTTGGTATGTATTTGTATAAGAATATATTTGAATGGGGACGCCTGGGTGGCTCAGTTGGTTAACCAGCTGCCTTCGGCTCAGGTCATGATGCCAGCATCCTGGGATCGAGTCCCACATCGGGCTCCTTGCTCGTCGGGGAGCCTGCTTCTCCCTCTGCCTCTGCCTGCCATTCTGTCTGCCTGTGCTTGCTCTCTCTCCCTCTCTCTCTCTCTCTGACAAATAAATAAATAAATAAATAAATAAATAAAATATATATTTGAATGGTATAATGATTCTTGACATTGTCTTTTATAATTCAATATTCAATTACTCTTGATTAAAATTTATTTTAAAATTTCTATCACATATACTGCACACCAAGAACTAGTTTAAATACAGACATACTTTTATGATATCCATAAAAAAAATCAAGTCCTAAAAGAGCTCTGCCATAAACTTTAAAGATACTGATTATGCAAATATTTGAGTTGCTGTTTAGTAATTGAAGCCTTTTACTGTCTGGATTCCAGTATTCTCTTTCATTGCCATATATTCTAATTAATAAGGGAAAATAGTATCTGACTTTCTTTAGGTTGTATCCTTGCCACGTACCTGCTCAGACATTTGTACATTGTTAAGCCCCCAGGTATGAGTAGGGTATGATGTTAGAGAAATGAGGGCTGTGGATTCTTAAACATGGACAAACAAAATGTGAATTCAGCTAAAATGCCAGACTTACCAGAATTTATAGCATTTAGAGTGTTGGATCTAATATTCTAGAGTTTTTATATGTAACATGAGGTCTAGTAAATGCTTAAGCAGCTTCTAAAAGTATAAGAGAATATGGTATTTGCTTGTAAAATAGTTTTCTCTTGTGTTTTAAAATGACACATGATTTACTTTCAAGAGATTCTTAGCTCACTTTCATTGAAGGTAGGGAATTGAGAATGAAACATAATAGACTTAAATTACCAAAAGTCTTCAGTATAGTTGAATAATTTGATTCTGAAATATAAAGAGAAGTTTTCAAAATAATTTCAAAATATTCCTTGAAATGAAATGAATGTGAGCTTTGCCTACACTATTATGCCTAGTATTTCTGTATATTGATCTGGGACTTTTGTATTAGGAGAGCAAGTCTTCTGATTTAAATAATATATGCAAATGCCAGAAAATTTCTACTACTTTTGTTCTTTTTAGGTGGTTTCAGACACCCTCACAGGTTTTCTACCATGCAGCAACTGAACATGGAGGCAAAGATGTATATCCAGGGCAATGTCTTTGGGAAGGTTGTGAACCTTTTCAGCGACAGAGGTTTTCTTTTATTACCCACTTACAGGTACACTTTCTTCATACTATTTGATCAGTAACTCACCTGGTTGCATTAAAGATCTTGATGCATATTCTTTTACTTCCTCTTTCTCAAAAAGGATAAGCACTGTTCAAAAGATGCCCTGCTTGCAGGATTAAAACAAGATGAACCAGGACAAGTGGGAAGTCAAAAATCTTCTACCAAGTAAGAACCATGAGTTTACTTCCCATTGCACATACAAAAAGAAAAGTCAAGAAACTAGGCAAAACATAGTACCAGTGAAAGACAGCTTAGCATATTAGGTGACCAGAGACCTAGGTTCTAGTTGAGCTCTACTGTTAACCAGCTATGAGACCCTATTCCAACTGCCTAAATTCTCTGAGCACTTTTCATTCTGGCTAGAACGCATAGTCTGTTAGGACTTTGTAGCTATATTTTGATTCTGATCTGTATATAAGTCATTAGAAGTGATGACAGATGATATTTCAGAAATGCTTTGTAAAGTGGAAATGTATATATGGTTCTTTGTCCTTTGAGAGAGTAATTGAATATGTATTTGATAATGGCAAAGAGATTTCTTCCTACAAGCAGTCCTCTGAGGACAGGCCAGGGTTTCGTGTGAGGATTGTATACATACCACATTTACTATATGGTTGTTCATTTACCTGTTATTTCATGAGCCCCATACTTATAAGGCATGTAGTTCAAGTTCTATCTGGGTGTAGATTCCTGTAAAAGCCTTATTGGATTTACCCAGTATTTATCTCCTACTCTGTCTAACTGAGACCTTTAGTTGTAGAGTCTGTAATATAAATAATATGTTTAACTCTCAAAATGTGAAGATATATTAATTTGTCCCCATTTATTGAGATATTGCTGTGTACTTGGCATTGTGCCAGAGATACAGAATTCTAAGAACAGGATCTAATCTTCAGATCTTCACAGAACTGAAATTCTGGAAGAAGAACTAGAAGTATGGGAACACAAGCTGTTCACACACTTCATTCATTCCATTATTATTCAGTGAGCATCCACTGTGTGCTAGGCACTAAAGTGTGGTATGAGGTATATGTGACCAATGTACATTTTGCCATTCAGTGTCTAGAGATCAAATGAGAGATATAAGTAATTCTTACTATCTAGTGTAATCATTACTAAAACGAGGAGATGCTCAGGACACTATAAGAGCCCATGTAAACCAACCTAGGAGACCACGGAAGGCTGTCTGATAGAAAATGCATCCAAACTGCGACTCAAAGAGTGAGGAGTAGTTAGCTGAGAGTCTCATAAGCCATAGTCATGAGTTTGGATTGTATCCTAAAGGCAGGGGAAAGTCATTTTTCTGCCAAGTATATTTTTCTATAATTTCCACTGTACTTAATTTGTATGTATTATGTAGTGTATAAGAATATGTTGGAATATATTTGGTTTTGCTTAAATTCGAAGGAAAAGATATTTGGGATGTCAGTTGCAATCAGTCAAAAATCTTTGTCACTTATACCTGACTTCCAATAACAGTCGTATCTATATATAGATATTATTATCTGTAGACGTATATCTAGATATGGATGTAAACTGGTTTACAATTTTAAGATTGCTTTACATTCAGAATTAGTTTACTTATATTTAAAAGTGCCAGAAATCACCCCACATTCCAAAACCTGAAGCACAGAGGGGCAAGTGGGAATTTCCGAAGTCACTCGGGTAGTCGGCGTGCCAGACTACATTTCCTCACATGTGACTCACTGCCATTGCCTCACGAGAATGCAACGGATATTGATTTTTTTGACCAAGGAAATCTGGCATAGTTTGAATCTTTTATATAAAATCTGTCTCTGCATTCCCTCCATTCTGTATCTTTCATAAAGGACAGTAGAAATACACTGAAAGGATTGATTGGTATTATCAAATAATGATGACAAATACAATGATGTAACAAAGTAATAGTTTGAAATACTGTGGTTAACATAATTTCTTGTTACTGTCATGTTAGGTTATCTTTTTCTGGATAACCTATCCCTGTATCAACACATCCTTTGGTAATACTATTTTACTCTCAGATACTGTTTAGCAAAAATAGCTTGCAACTCAAATTGTAGACTATTTTCTTCTTTGTTAAAATCTTCACATTACATTCAGGTATGTGAACTCCACAGCTTTGATACCCTGTTGTATTGATTTTGACTGCATGTTTACTGGCACAGTAACTTTAAAGGTGAACTGCACCAGAACAGCTGTTGTTTGCTTCAAAATTGTTAGATTGGAAATAAAAGACTAGCAGCTTCACCTTGATACTAAGAGCCCCTTGCCTAGCCTGACACAAAGTAGACATTAATGCTGGGTCATGGGAGCTTTGATTTATCCTGTATCCAGTTTCAGAGGAAGCACCCTAGGAGCTGGCAGGTTTGTCACCCTTGCCAGTCTGTCTGTAACATTGTGTTAACAGTCTCTCTCTCTCTCCTCAACTCAGGCAGCCTGCTGTGGGGGGCACAAGCTCAACTCCTAGAGCACAGAAGGCCATTGTGAATCATCCCAGTGCTGCCCTGATGGCTCTTAGGAGAGGATCAAGAAACCTTGTCTTTCGAGATTTTACAGTAAGCAAGCCTTGAAAGCCTTACCTATAAAGGTGTGAGCACTGTATGATTTAGATCTTTATTCTTTTCTTTTCCTTTCTTTTTAAGGATGAAAAAGAGGGACCAATAACTAAACACATCCGACTAACAGCTGCCTTAATATTAAAAAATATTGGTAAATATTCAGAATGTGGTCGCAGGTGAGTAATCTGTTTTCCGTAGCCCGAGTGAATTTAGATTATTTTACTTTTACATGCAAGTTAATAAGATTAGATATCTGTGTTTTTATTTACTGTTTTTCTCAATTTTGTGAATATGTCCAAAAGCTTATGCCAAGGTCAGGCCATCGTGATCTCTTAAAAGCCAAAAAAGTCGAAGTTCAAACAGCCGAAAGGTGATCTTTTAATTTGTTTTATTAGGTTAATTTTCTTGCTGACCATAGCATTTAGAGCAAAAAGTAGATTTACTAAAGAGAAACCTTACAAGTTTATGGGGGAGGGGGAGGAGGAATGAATTGGGAAATGAACATGTGTCATTTGAATTGTGTGGCGTTAGGATGGAATTTAATTTGGTGATTGGCATTTTCCTGAAGCCATCAGAGTCACAGATACTGCTAAGATTCACTCTAATGCTCTCAAGTTTAAAACTGATTTTCTGGGGCTCCTGGGTGGCTCAGTTGGTTAAGTGTCCGATTCTTGATCTCAGCTCAGGTCTTGATCTCAGAGTCGGGAGCTCAAACCCCATGTTCGGCTCCAAAAAAAAAAAACAAACATGCTTTTTAATGGACTTAAGCAAGAAAAACTCGGGATTTTATAGATCTGTAGAAAGTAGAAACAGTGACTCTAATCCTTGAGAGAGCAAATGTGGAAAGTTCTGTTGGACTTTATCTCCCTTGGAGATTGTCTCTAATTTTCTAGTATTCCTTCTACATCTTCAGCTGACTCACCTTGGGCTCTTTTGTCAAGAAATTATCTTCTGAGAGTAGGCTGGCTAGAAAGATGCAGAAGAGGTGGAGAGCCATTTGGAGAGGGGGTGCAGGAAGCCTGTCTGAAGCTCTCCTGAGCCTCCCTGACTGTCCTGGGAGCCCACACTGTTGGCCTAGGGCTTGATTCTGTTTGCAAGAGAATAGCCCTCAGAGATCCTGTCTATGAAGAATGATATTTGCTCCCAAAACTTGTCTTGGGGCACCTGAGTGGCTCAGTTGTTAAGCATCTGCCTTCGGCTCAGGTCATGGTCCCAGGGTCCTGGGATCGGGCCCGAATCAGGCTCCCTGCCCAGCTGGAAGCCTGCCTCTCCCACTTCCCCTGCTTGTGTTCCCCCTTTCTCTGTGTGTCTGTCAAATAAATAAATAAAAATTAAAAAAAAAAAAATCTTAAAAAAAAAAAAGGAAAAAGAAATTATCTTCTGAGACATCCTGCCTTCTGGCTAGTGACTTTCTCTCTGCATTTTTCTCCTCAGACATGTTAGTAGTCCCATCTCCCAGATGTATCCTGCATCTAAATTATTTCTCCTCCCCCACCCCCACTGGTAACCTTGCCTTCTTAGTTCTTTTATGTTTCTTGCAGTAACTTTCCAGCTGAATTCTCCCACCATGAAAACAGTGGTACCAATTACAAAAGGAAAGGGAAAAAAAAAAAGCAACGAATTTGAGTATATCAAAGTTCTGTAAATTAAAGATGAATAAAACTTAAAACTAAAGTTTAAACAACAGTATTTGCAATGCAAAATTTACTATATTTAGTGTATCCTGTGTTCTCATGGGTGAATAAGAAAAATTCTTAACATTCAAATAGAAAGATGAGCAAAGTTTTTCAGAAAGAAAGAAATATGAAGGTTTCGTCACCATACAAGAACACCAGCTTCTTCCTTCTTCATTCATAACATGGTTTCTTACTGCCTTTCTCACTGTGCTTTCCTCTCCACCCTCCTTGTGCTTCATAGCTTACATTTCAGTTTTAGCCACATACAGATTCCTAATCGTTAGAATCTTTCAGGGCGCCTGGGTGGCTCAGTGGGTTAAGCCTCTGCCTTCGGCTCAGGTCATGATCTCAGGGTCCTGGGATGGAGTCCCACATCGGGCTCTCTGCTCAGCAGGGGAGCCTGCTTCCCTCTCTCTCTCTCTGCCTGCCTCTCTGCCTACTTGTGATCTCTCTCCCTCTCTCTGTCAGAAAAATAAGTAAAATATTAAAAAAAAAAAAAAAGACTCTTTCAGGTCACACTTTTGTACTTTTGGTTCCAACATTCATACTATTCTCCTTGCCTAGAATGCTGTTCTCCCTGTGGTGCTGGCCTGGTGAATAACTGGAAACCCTTTGTGATTCAGCTCAGATAGAAGCTTTTGTGTGCTGCCTCCTGTGCTGTGTTCCCTTCCCCATCGAGTTCATTCTTCTCTATTCTTGTGACCTGTCTGGTAACATTTTTTTTGGACATTCTCAATATTTTATTGTTTTTCTAAATTTAAATTCAAGTTAGTTAACATATCATGTAGTATCAGTTTCAGGAGTAGAATTTAGTGATTCATCACTTACATCTAACACCCAATGCTCATCCTAACAAGTACCCTCCTTAATACCCATCCCCCATTTAGCCCATCCCTTACCTCCCTTCCAGCAATCCTGTTTGTTCTCTACAGTTAGGAGTCTCTTATGGTTTGCCTCCCTCTCTGTTTTTATCTTATTTTTCCTTCCTTTCCACTATGTTCATCTGTTTTATTTCTGAAATTCCACTTATGAGTGAAATCCTACAGTATTTGTTTCTCTGACTTACCTCGCTTAGCGTGATACGCTCCAGCTCCATCCACGTCATTGCAAATGGCAAGATTTCTGAGTTAATATTCCATTGTGACCACATCTTCTTTATCCATTCATCAGTCGATGGACATTTGGGCTTCTTCCATTATTTGGCTATTGTTGGTAGTGCTGCACGTGCCCCTTCGAATCAGCATTTTGTATCCCTTAGATAAATGCCTAATAGTGCAATTGCTGGGTCATAGAGTAGCTCTATTTTTAACTTTTTGAAGAACTTCCACACTGTTTTCCATAGTGGCTGCACAGTCTGCATTCCCATGAAAAGTGCAAAAGTGTTCCCCTTTCTCCGCATCCTCACCAACATCTGTTGTTTTCTGAGTTCTTAATTTTAACCATTCAGATACGTGTGAGGTAGTGTCTCATTGTGGTTTTCATTTGTATTTCTCTGATGCCGAGTGCTGTTAGCATTTTTTCATGTGTCTGTTCGCCATGTGTATGTCTTCTTTGGAGAAGTGTCTATTTATGCCCTCTGCCCATTTCTTAACTGGATTATTGATTTTTGGAGAGTTGATTTTGATGAGTTCTTTAAAGATTCTGGACACTAGACCTTTATCCAGTATGTCATTTGCAAATACCTTCTTCCATGCTGTTGGTTGCCTTTTAGTTTTGTTGATTGTTTCCTTCACTGTGCAGAAGCTTTTTATCTTGATAAGGTCCCACCAGTATTTCATTTTTGCTTTGTTTCCCTGGCCTCTGGAGATGTGTCTAGTAAGAAGTTGCTCCAGCCACAGTCATAGAGTTTGCTGCCTATTTTCTCCCATGGGGTTTTGATGGTTTCCTGTCTTATAATTAGGTCTTTCATCCACTTTGAGTTTATTTTGGTGTGTAGTGTAAGAAAGTGGTGCAGTTTCATTCTTCTGCATGTGGCTGTCCAGTGTTCCCAACATCATTTGTTGAAGAGATATAACATTAATTTTATGTTTTGTAAATGGTTTTAGGGGTACCTGGATGGCTCAGTCAGTTAGGTGTCCAAATCTTGGTTTTGGCTCAGGTCATGATCTCATGGGTTGTGGGATCAAGCCCCACGTCAGGCTCTGCACTCACCCGTGAGTCTGCTTGGGATTCTCTCCATCTGCCCCTCCTCTTACTCATGCACAGGCTCGCTCACTTGCTCTCTTGCTCTGTTGAATAAGTAAATAATCTTTGAAGTGGTTTTTATATGGATTTTTTCTCCCGCTAACCTATTTGTAGACTTTCTCTGTGTAATCTTTGTAGCCTGAACACCTAGCACACTACTTAATATGTAGTAGTTAATCTCTACTTTCTCTTCATCCTTAAGATTCAACTCTGGGGTTACCTCTTCCTTACCTGACGTCTTCCTCACTAGCCTGCCTCTGACCTAGGGTGCCAGAGATACTCTCTATCACCTCACATATTCCGTATCGCCATCCTAGGTGGTGAGATCTTTGAAAGCAGGGATTGAATGTTGATTTTCACTTTTGTGTCCTCAGTGCCTTGCATATTGTTTGGAATGTATAGGAATTCAGTAAGTATTTGATTGATAGACAGGCAGAAGGAAAGAAGTGTCACGAATTCACTCTTTTCTAGAGTTCTGATCTGGAATTTGTGTAAATAATTGGAATTCTAAAAGTAATTTTATAACTTTTTCTTAGCACTTTCTCCTCACATTCAAACTGTAGCAGAGCCACTTGGGCTAGATAAAATTTTGAGCCAGAAGTTTTTGTTTTACTGTTTTTGTTTTGTTATTGATTTTGTTATTTTATATTTAAACCTTCCAAGTGTCTTCTGGCATCTTCAGTTATTATGATCTTAGAATAGCAGAATCAAAAGAATGGAAACAATCCATTAAATTCTTACCATTCATCCTCCCAGTGAAGGTTGAACTGTAGAACTTCATTCAAACATCTCCAGTGATGTGGAGTTTTGCTTAGCAAGAATACTGACAGAATCTGGCAAAACATATGTGTGAAGAAGAGAGTGTAGGAAATTAGATAGCTGCAAAAGGTAATTCCCTGTTGAGATTTCTCATCTGAGAGTAGAATAAGTAATAGGGTATAATTTTTTTTTTTTTTTTTAAGACTGAAGCCAACTCTGTTAGCAATAAGAAAATTGCACGTTGATCGGAAGATATGTGGAAATTTACCTTCATTTTTGTAGTATAGTGTACTGAACAATATGAAATGTCAGCATATTTAAAATTTGGAATTCAGAATCTGATTCTTTGAATAATGTAAAAAGGTTAAATCCTGTTTATCTCCATTCTGATTAAGTCTGAGCTCTGAAGAATTACAATATATTTATCCTTTTGATTTATATACCTTTTATTAAAATAATACTTGGGTACTATTTAAAAATTAAATGGTACTTTTCTGTACATGATAATGAACAGTCTGAAAAATAAATTAAGAGAATAATTCCATTTTCAGTATATC